CAGTATCATATAAACAGAAAAAGCCAGAAGTGGTGCTATGGTTGAGGTGGCAGAGTGCTAGCCTTGAGCAAAAGAAGCTCAGGGATAGTGCCTAAGCCCCACGACTGCCAAAAAAAAAAAGAAGAAGAAGAAGGGGCTGGGAAGTGGCTCAGTGATAGAGTGCTTGCCTTGCATGCCTGAGGCCCTGGGTTTGACTCCTCAGCACCACATAAGCAAAAAAAAAAAGAAGAAGAAGAAGAAGAGGAGGAGGAGGGAAAAGGAGGGGGAGGGGGAGGAGGAGGAGAATGTAATAACTGCATTCAGAGGCTTCAGCCATGGGTTCTGAGGTCAGCACACTAAGTAAGCATTGCAAAAGACCCCATGGCCATTCTTTTAGGGCTTGGCTGGTGCTTATCTAGCTGTGGCACTGGGCCATCTCCATAGACGTCATGAGACTAGAGAGGACTTTGCCTTCAAGAGCACAATTCAGAGAGGAGATACATCCTAGGTAAACAGTTGCAGGACAGCATAGTTGGCTTATAACAGAGATGGATCTGGAAAGGGCTCAGAGAATAGGAAGAACTTGATCTGGGCTGTAAGCTGGGAATCAGGCAGATGAGGAAGGCAGTCCAGGCAGCAAGACAGTGGGAAAAAGCCAGAGAGAGTCTGAAGACTTAGTGGTAGAGTGTTTGCCTAGCATGCATGAAGCCCTGGATTCGATTCCTCAGTACCACATACACAGAAAAAGCCAGAAATGACACTGTGGCTCAAGTGGTAGCGTGCTAGCTTTGAGCAGAAGAAGCTCAGGATAGTACCAGGCACTGAGTCCAAGCCCCAGGACTGGAAAGAAAGAAAGAGAGAGAGAAAGTATCTGAAGAGCATGTTGCTTTAGGGGGATGAGAAGCAGACCAGCATGACTAGGTCCCCTATATCTCGGCCTAATCCTGAAGGTCATGGGAAGCCAGTGAAAATTCAAAGCAACAAAGAAAAAGACTGGTCTGGATGCAGTTCTGGGACAGTTAAGAGCCCAGGGCTGTGATGCTATTGGAGGTGGACAGGACAGTAGGCATGATATGAAGAACCAAGATGGGTTCAGAGTAGCTTTGAGATCAGATGAGTGGGCCAGTTGGTGGAAAGGAAGTTCAGAATTCCAAGGTTTCCCCCTTAGACAAAGGTCTGATGGGGCTCCCTGTGGCAGGCTGGGGTGCAGAATAGAATAGTGCCAACTCACAGAGTCAGGAGATTCTGATGGGCAGTGTCTTCCAGCTCACCTTAATTTGCAGACCTCCCTACCATTTGGCCTAAATTTAGTCCTTTTTCATTCACCTGGGCTGCAATGGTTTGACTAAGTCATAGTGACTCAGAAGAGTGTGTGTGTGTGTGAGAGTGTGAGAGAGAGACAGAGACAGAGACAGAGGTGGGGGGGAGGCGGAGAGCGGCCAGGGATAAAACCTGAGGCCAACATATTAGGCAAGTGCTCTACCATGAACCACACTCCTGGCTCTTCACTTGAGAGTGAAAAAGTGAGCTTTCCTTTTCTAGACTCACGGCTAGCCAAGCAAAAATATTCTGGATCTGGTTTGATATGTGTTGTCTCTGGCACTGACTAGCCCAGAGGTAAGCTTGTAAAAGCTCGTCTGATAACTGCAGGGCCCACTTTGCAGTTCTTGCTGATATTATATTTTTTTGAATCTTAAACGTTTCTGGACTGAGTACAGCACATGCCTGTAAATCCAGCACTTGGGAAGTGGGAGGATCACAAATTCAGGCCTCAAAACAAAACAAACCTTCACATGCACATGAATTCCCCACGCACAAAAAAAGAAAAAAAAGTCCTAAAAATCCTAAATCACTGAGAGATGGTGTTAGGCAAACATCACAGAGACTTGACACCAGCTTAGATGCTCTAGGAAGCTAATCAGGGTGGTCTCTGGGTTCAATCCAGAGATGTACAAAATAACAGCTGGGCGCCGGTGGCTCACGCCTGTCATCCTAACTACTCAGGAGGCTGAGATCTGAGAATCAAGGTTCAAAGCCAGCCTGGGCAGGAAAGTCCGTGAGACTCTTATCTCCAATAGACCACTAGAAAATCGGAAGTGGTGTTGTGCTCAAGCGGCAGAGTGCTCACCTTGAGCTGAAGAGCTGAGGGATAGTGCCCAACCCAGATTTCAAGCCCCATGACCGACCAAAAAAAAAAAAAAATGTACAAAATAGCATGAAGTGAAGGGGAATCAAAGGAGGAAGCAAAAAGCTTGATAAGAAATGTACTCATTACCTTGCTCATGGAATTGTAACCCCTCTGTACGGTATTTTCACAATTAAAAAAATAGCATGAAGTGCAATACAGGGAGTCCTATAGCAATGGCACTGTGGTTATTGTTACGGTCAAGTGCAGTGTGCTGTACGTGGCTGACAGGCTGTCACAGTGGGATTGTCTCCCCCAGCATCGCCACAGGCACGTGATGTGTTCCACTCAGACATGAAAATGCCAATAGACAAAGGAATTTCCAGCTCCATTACTGTGGGTCACTGTGACATATAGACACATGGGTCATCTTTCTGCAGCATCCCACTCCACTTAATGTCAGTGGTTTCTAGCAGAGCTGGCTTCAAGAGCTCTGCTCTAAGCAGAGAAGGGAGCTCATTGCCAAGTGCTTCACCCGCCTCCTTTCTTGCTTCTCTGCCCTCAGCATCCTCCGCAAAGCCCTGGACAAGATTGCTGAGATCAAGTCTCTATTGGAAGAGAGGCGGATTGGTAAGTGAGAAGAATGTTCAGGGAGGAGAGAGGGCTGCACACAGCAATCTCACCTCTGAAACAGACCAAGGAGAGTCGTTCTCCCCACAGACAGAGATGATTCTACCCAACCTGTCACCCTGTCACCTTCTCTAGGCTCTGGCCATAGCCTCCTTGGTAACTACACCTGCCTACTGTCATGGCGTGAGACCTGGCTGGTGGGTTTAGGTGGAGTCCCAGTGTACTGGCTTCCAGAGTCTCTCAGACACAGGCTTTCCTTCCTTTTTCTTGCCCTCTTCCCCAGTGTGGTGACCACATGCTATTTTGTTTTGAGGTAGTGAGGGGTGTATTGAGACCAAGGGTCCATGTTGGGTATTTTGTTTTTCAACTACTGCATAATTCCTATATAGTCGTAGAAAAGTATGCAGAGGGTTCCCACTCCATGAGATTTTCCACTGACCCAGCATGAGCTCAAGTACCTAAGTTTATGACCAGCCCCTCTGAACCCCCACTTCATACCTTTCTACTTGCTTCTAAAGAGAACGACTGCCATCCTGACTTCTTAGAAGTTTAGTTTGCCTCTCCCCAACCCCAGCCACCTAGTGGAAGGGATGCGCATGTGGTTGGCCCCACTGCCAAGCGGGGAGGTGGCACTGGCACAGTACCACTCAGGAGCCTCGGGCCCCTTCCTTCCCACAGCGGCCAAGATCGCAGGTCTGTACAACGACTCAGAGCCGCCCCGGAAGACCATGCGCAGAGGGGTGCTGATGACACTGCTCCAGCAGTCAGCCATGACCCTGCCCTTGTGGATTGGGAAGCCTGGTGACAAGTGAGCCTGGGAGCCGCCCAGGGATGGCTGGTGTCCAGGAGCTGGACTGACCCTGCCTCCTCTTGTAGGCCTCCGCCCCTCTGTGGTGCCATTCCAGCCTCAGGGGACTATGTGGCCAAGCCCGGAGACAAGGTGGCTGCTCGGGTGAAGGCTGTGGATGGCGATGAGCAGTGGATCCTGGCCGAGGTGGTCAGTTACAGCCATGCCACCAACAAGTGAGTGGACCCCCAGCTGTCTGGCCTCCCCACAGCCGCTTCCCCACACTCTACACTGCTTCAGGCGTCTCCTTTTGTCACCCACAGGTACGAGGTGGATGACATTGATGAAGAAGGCAAAGAGTGAGTGTCCAGGGGAAAAGGGAGGGGCAAGCAAGCTACTGGGGGGAGCCTCCCAGAGCCATGGCTTGCATTTCCCCCCCTCCAGGAGACACACCCTGAGCCGCAGGCGCATCATCCCACTGCCCCAGTGGAAGGCTAACCCTGAGACGGACCCTGAGGCCTTGTTCCAGAAGGAGCAGCTTGTGCTGGCACTGTACCCCCAAACCACCTGCTTCTACCGTGCTCTGATCCACACGCCCCCTCAGCGGGTAAGGCAGCCTCCACCAAGGGGCCTTCCGTGCACCAGAGCCCTGCCTGCTTCTCTCTCCAGGACCCCGCTGTGGCTCCTGGCTTGTCCTTGAGTCCTTACCCCAGCATCCTAACAGCAACAGCCCTCCTACAATTCTGCACTGGGAGTTGGGGAGCAGTGACCCCCACACACACACCTTTTCCCTGCTCTTCTCTTTCCTTTTTTAGTAATTATTTTTGGTTCAAGACCAGGATTCAAACTCAAAATCTCTGATACTTTCACTCAGTGGCTAGTGCTCTACCAACTGAGCCACGCCACCAACGCCACTCCCCACTCTTCTCCCTGCATTTATCCTCTCAACTCCCTGTTTGGGGAGTAGCTAAGGAAGAGCTCTGGAGCAACAGAGACTGGCTTCTTGTTCCCAGAGTGGAAAAGTGGGAGAGCACTCGCCCTCCCCGTCTATAGCTGAGGGCTGGGAGGAGGCTGTCCAGGCCTAGACGCCTCCGACCCACTCCTGCGTGTGTCCCGCCAGCCCCAGGATGACTACTCGGTCCTCTTTGAAGATACCTCCTATGCAGACGGCTACTCTCCTCCCCTGAATGTGGCCCAGAGGTACGTGGTGGCTTGTAAGGAGCCCAAGAAAAAATGAAGCTGCCTGCAAACTTGAGCCTGCCACTGCCATCCCCGAGGGAGAAGGCAACAAAGGATTTCTATCATCAAATAAATATTCCCCCTCCTACTCCATGTTTCCTGGGGCTTTCCTTTTCCAGCACCTTTCCCCTCCACCAGCAGGGCATGTGAAGATGGGAGCCTGCAGTGGAGAGAGGGTCCAGTCTGATTTCAATGGCTCAGGTTTTTGCTTGCTCTCCAACAGACTCTCTGTGTTGAACACATTTTATATATTTTATATATTTTATTCTTGAGGTCATGGTCAGGTTTTGTCAAACTCCTTTGGAGTGACTCCTGACGACACATTCAGATCTCAGAGCGGAAAGTGAACTTGCAGCCCGCCATCTTGTCAGCGTAGTGGGCATCAAAGCGCTCGTTCTGGGCCACAGTGAAAGTATTTTTCCAGTCTCCTGTGGTCCCTGGATGGGGACAGAAGGAGGAAGGAGTTTCAGCCAAAGAGGGGGCCCCCAGGGTAGACTTGCTATTAACCATCTCCCCAAATATCCACCCTGGATGGGGCATACCTTTTCTCATGAAGGCGGAAATGTTGTGGTCCATGATTTCAGAAGGTAATGTGGTATAGTTAGCCATAGGGTTTTTCTTCATCTCCTTGAAGGATGTGTGCTGGGTGATTAAGTCTATGGTCTTCTCAGGTAAAGAGCGGCCCACAAACTCCAGGATCTTCTGAATCTCTCTTTTGGGGTTCTGTAGTAGCAGAAGGATCCTTCAGTGGAGGTTTGGATTGTACCTTGGGCAAACACCAGAAGTCTGCCCACTCTAAGGGTACCGGGAGCTGCCCGCTTGCACTGAGGAACTCAAGCCCAGCTCCAAGACTCTGGGCATCTTTCTGAGACAGTACTGTAATCCCTTTCTACCCTGACATTGTGCCCTGAGTACCATATGTCCCATCTGGGAGAAGATAGAGACAGTCTTTCATCTCTGGGGCCCAAGCTGGTACCCCATCAGGGAGAGAGAAGTAGGAGCATGGAATTGCTAATGGGTGATAAGGGTCATCAGTGTCCTCTGCTGAGCTGGTCCTGTTGGCAAGAGCTGATGTGCAGCATGAGAGGGAAGAGGGAAATCCTGGGGTACAAGGGCTAAGGCCCTGAGTAGATCCCTCTGGGCTTCCTGTTCCCCAGCTGCCACAGGGAAGGAAGGAAGCATCAGCAGGTGGTCTCACCTCCTTCATGTCTTCATAGAAGAGGTACAGCACTGGGTGGGTGTGTTGCAGCTCCCACCACTCCTGCACATGCTGGTACCATGGCCCATAGGACACTGGGGAGCAACACAGGCATAAACACAGCTGGGCTTAGTTTTAGCTGCTGCCCCTCAGCTCCAGCCCCCTCCTTCCTGCACAGTCAGACCCACCTTTCCCATCCATGAACTTCTCCAGGAAGCTGTCCCAGGTGCCAGGGTCAGGGTGCACCTTGGCCATGTGGTAAAAGTGATAATAGGAGACGGCCACATCCTTTGCATTGCGGGCAATGTAGATGACCTGCAGGGGCAGACCCCCATACCCCAAATCCTCACCATACTGCACCCCACAGTAGTCCTAGCTCTGCATTCTGTCTTCCTGTTTCCCTTATCAGCATCCAGTTTAGGAGTTTTCTCTAGGTGTGGTAGCAGGCTGAGACTGACTTGTTGAGACGCTGTGATATGAGGCAACCAGGCTGGCTTTAAACCCCAATTTGACACCAAAGTCCGGGCATATTTCATTCTAATCTGTTCCGTCAATAACACCTCATTCAGACTGGAACAAGGCAGACCTGGGTCCTAACCCTCCCCCCTCCCCCCAGTGTCCTGTGAACACCTGGATATCTCAGGTGAATGTCTCAATTTTAAACTCTGTTAGAGTTTAAAAGACAAGCATATGTCCTCACAATGACACAGGGCTAGAGGAATCCTTCCCCAAACAGGACCAAAGCTGGCGTGTCCAGCGTTCCAGCCCTCTCACCTTGACTTTCTGATCCAGCAGGCTCTGGGGAATCAAGGACAGAGGTAGATGTGTCTTGATCAGGCGTGGAGCTGGTGTTTTTTCCAGAGACTGTAGACCTAAGGGTGGGCAGGGAAGGTCAAGTGAGCTGAGGCCAGGTTCCACTTCCTGCCATGTCACTCACTCCCAGCTCCCCTCCACACACCTGAGGGAATGCCTGGACATTGGAACTCAAGGAAAGGCACCCTCATGTAGATGGGGGCCCGGCGACACTTCTCCAGATCACCACCCTGGTAGATCATGTCCAGTATCTCACTCACCCAAGTGGTGCCTGGAAAGAGGAACATCAGAGGGAAAGGTGCTGAGTGAGTACCTGATGCTGCAAAGTGATCAGCAAAGTAAGCCTGGGAGAAGAGGGCGAGCTTGCCCACTTACCAGACTTGGGGTAGGTGCTAATGAGCAGATCATCAGGCCAGGCCTGGAAATCCTTCATCAACTTAGTTGCTTCTGCAAAGTACTTGATGAGTGGGATTCCCTTCACATGCACCAGCGGTGGGCGGGTGAAGTCCTGGAGTAGCTCCATGCTGCTGCATCAGGGAACACAGCCCAGTCCACTATGTTACAATGGTCACAGTACTATTTCATGAACCCTTCCTTTGGGGTTAGGACTCAGAGGTCTCCAAGGGTTGAGCAATTTGGCCAAGCTTCCCAAGCCAACAGGAGGTGGAGCTTGATCCAAAGACTGGTATAACTGCTCAGAACTGTAGCCATAACCTGAGCTTGCCTGCACAGCTTTCTCTGATCCCAATCAGCACCACAGCAGGGGCCAAGTGAAGCACTTGGGGGAGGGGACGGTAACTTGGGATTGGCAACTCTCCAGAAGATTCTAGCAGATACTTTTTTTTGGAGGGGGGGCGCGCGCCAATCCTGGAGCTTGCATCAGGGCCTGGGCGTGCTCCTGAGTTTTTTTCCACTCAAAGCTAATGCTCTAGCCCTTTGAGCCACGGCACTACTTCTGGTTATTAGGTAGTTAATTGGAAATAAGATTCTCATGGACTTCACTGCCCTTTATTAGCTGGCTTCCAACTGTGATCCTCAGCTCTTAGCCTCCTGAATAGCTAGGCTATGCTGTTGCTTCAAGCCTATACCCAAGGGTTTCCCCCATCTGTTTCCTGTCTTTTTTTTTTTTTTTTTGTCATGGGGTCTGAACCCTCAGCTCTTCAGCTCAAGGCTAGCACCCAGGACCTCATGCATGCAAGGCAAGCACTCTACCACTGAGCCACCTTCCCAGCCCCTGTTCCCTGCCTTGAACTGCTTGGGCTACCTGTTAATTTATGGAAACATTTCTGGCCAACTAATCCTGAAATTCCACTTGAAAAAAAACAAGCTCCAGCTTGTTTCTAAACAAACACAACTGGTGAATCCACTGACTTTATCTTGGGATAAAGTGAGCAAAATTGAAGAGCAGAGGGGAACTCAGGAGAGAATAGAATTGTCTTCTGCTCTGGAAAAATCTGCAGGGAAAGAGCAAGGGAGGATAGAGGCCTCAGCAAGGGATCAAACAGGAATCTGTTGGGGCAGACTAGGCGGTAGGGCTGGGGGAGGGAGTGTGTGTGAGGAGCTCACTCACCAGATTTGGAAGGATCCTGCCTTGTGATCTCCTTCGGTCCAGTTGGGGAGCAGTGGCTTCGCAGGGTTGCACTGTCAGGAGTGCAGAGCTGCTCTGAGTTCACACTTTCTGAGTCCCAAGTTGTAGGGAGGTGGAGCCTGGACTGGAACTGCCTGTACTCTTGGAAGGAAGGGGTGGAGTTGAGATGTCCAAAAGAGCCACCCCATCAGGAACCAAACTAACAACAATCTGATACCACAAGATTGGGTACAGCCCATTGGGAAATTAAAAAAAAAAACTATGTAGGAGGCCAAAGGGTAGCTTGTTTATATTTTAAGCTGTGATTTAGCTCCTGCCTTAATCACCTAAACTCTACCCCTACAAGGACTGTCAATCAACAGATGAATGTTTCTCTAGGTCCAATGGGGCAGTAGGAAGAGAGAAGGTATTAAGGACACTCACTTTCCTGCTGGCTTCAGGCAGGTCTTGATATCAAAAGTATCAAAGTTCAGCCAGGCACCAGTGGCTCATGCCTGTAATCCTAGCTACTCAGGAAGCTGAGATCTCAGGATGTCAGTTTAAAGCTAATCCGGGCAGGAAAGTCCATGAGACTCTTATGTCCAATAAAACACTAGAAAATTGGAAGTGGTGCTGTAGCTCAAGCGGTAGAGCACTCCCCTTGAGTTGAAGAGCTGAGGGACAGAGCCCAAGCCCAGAGTTCAAGCCCCATGACCGACAAAAAAAAAAAATTATCCAAGTTCCATACTGGAAGATATAAGCACTTATTTCTAGGACTGCCTTCTCTGAAGTCAAGGAAGTCCAGAGTGATGGGAATGCCCAGGGGAGATGCAGGTCATGTGGTCAGCCCCTCTTCTCACCTATATTCCCTTACCCAGGTCTCTACAATAGCATCAGGCGGCTCACATCTGTAATCCTAGCCACTCAAGGATTCAAAGTCTGAGGATAGCAGTTCTAGGCCAGCATACAACTCAAAGCCAGCCCAGGCAGGAAAAATCCATGAGATTCCTTTTTTTTTTGGTCAGTTGTGGAGCTTGGGTGCTGTCCCTGAGCTCTTTTGCTCAAGGCTAGTGCTCTGCCACTTTGAGCCACAGCATCATTTCCAGTCTTCTGACAGTTGATTGGCAGTAAGAGTTTCATGGACTTTCCTGCCTGGGCTGGCCTTAAACCATGATCCTCCAATCTCAGCCTCCTGAGTAGCTAGGATTACAGGGTGAGCCACTGGAGCCAGGCACCATAAGATTCTTATCTCCAATAAACTACAGAATACTAAAAAACCTGGAAGTGGAGTTGTAGTTCAAGTGGTAGAGCACTAGCCTTGAAGAAAAGATGCTTAGAGACAATGCCTAGGCCAAGTTCAAGCCCCAGGACTGGCAAAAAAATAGCATCAAGAGATACTATTACCATTCAGTTGACAGGGATCCTTTTGATCTACTTGGATGGGAATTTGGGTTGGGCAAGAATTCTTCCAGCACTGGAAATACTGGGCCCTTGACCACCCACAGTCTAGGTTCAGGATTGACAGACCTAGCTTACAGATCCAAGTTCAAATCTAGGGCCCTGACCACTCCAGGCTTCAGTAACCAGAGAATTAGGGATAAAGCATTGCTCAAGTAGTAAAGCATTTGCTTGGCAAGGGGAAAGTCTTAGGTTCAAACCACAATTTATAGCTCTAGAAACACAGATTGGAGGCTTTGTTGTTGTTGTGTTGATTTGTTATAGGGCTTGAACTCAGGGCCTGGTCACCTGAGCTGTTTTTGCTGAAGGCTAGTGCTCTACCACTTTGAACCATTTCCTCACTACAGGTTTATAAGTGGTTAATTGTAGATAGCCTCACAGGAACTTTTCTGCCCAGGCAGGCTTTGAACCATGATCCTCAGATCTCAGTCTCCTGAGTAGCTAGGATTTCAGGTGTGAACTACTGGTACCCAGTTTCCCTGGAACTTGTGTGTGTGTGTGTGTGTGTGTGAGAGAGAGAGAGAGAGAGAGAGAGAGAGAGAGAGCATATGTGTGCCAGTGCTGGAGTTTGAACTCAAGGCCTGGGTATTGTCCCTTCAGTATTTTGCACAAGGCTGTGAAATATTGATATTGGGTCTAATTACTGGTGCCATCTTGGCAGATGATGAAGAATTTCTGAAAACTCTTAGAGGTGAATTCCCACCCCCATTCTCAGGTGACAGGCATGCCTGAATTCCTAGAAATAGATAAACAGGGACTTGGACAATAGGTTCCCAGATCTTCCCAGCCATGGGGTCCCTCTTCAACTCTCCATTAGAATTGATCTTATTTATTGAGATTGTTTGTCTACCATCATGGCTCAGTTCCTAACAGTATTGAGTGCATTCAAGGCAGCAAGTTGTTTTTTTTTGGGGGGGGGGCATGTGTCTGCTCACAGACACTGGCTTTCTAATAGACTCCTGATCCAATCTCTCAAAATGTGGTTTCTCTCTTTCTTGGGATCGAATTCATTTATAACAGCTGGTGCTCTACTACTTGAACCACACCTCTACTTCTGGCACTTGGTGGCTAACTGGAGACGAGAGTCTCATGGATTCTCCTGCTGGAGGTGGCTTCAAACCACAAAACTCAGATCTCAGCCTTCTGAGTGCTAAGATTACAGATATGAGCCACTGGTCCCCTGCCCTCTCTGGAACTCTTCAACTGCCTCTCAGTGCTACTGCTACTAGCATTGCTGGACCTGTCAACACTATTAAAATGCCAGGAGGAGCTGTGGATGCTTCTGTTGCTACTGACTATATCTCCACCTTTCTCTGCTTCCTTCCAGTTACCAGCTCCATGTGATTTTTTTTTTTTTTGGTCATAGGTCTTGAACTCTGGGCCTGGGCACTGTCCCCCAGCTCTTCAGCTTAAGGTGACACTCTACCACTGAGCCACAGACACAACGTTGATCTTGATGAAATTGTGAATCAGGTCATACCATTCCTCTGCTGAATAATTCTTGTCATCCTTAGAATGCAGTCTCAGCTGGACATTTTGGCTCACAAAATCTCTCTAGTCATTTGTTCATCGTGCTAGTCTGTCTGCTTAAACTCTATTCTAGTCTCATAGAGTCTTTAACCACATGGGCTGGAAAGGTGGCTCAGTGGTAGAGCGCTTGCCTTGCGTGCTTGAGGCCCTGGGTTTGATTCCTCAGCACCACATAAGCAGAAAAAAAAGCCTAAAGTGTTGCTGTGGCTCAAGTGGTAGAGCGCTAGCCTTGAGCTGAAGAGCTAAGGGACAGTGCCCAGACCCAGAGATCAGGCCCCACAACCGGACCCCCCCCCAAAAAATAAGAATGTTTAACCACTTATGGTTTCTGGTGATTAATTAGAGATAAGAGTCTCACAGACTTTCCTTCCCAGGCTGGCTTTGAACCATGATCCTCAGATCTCAGCCTCCTGAGTAGCTAAGATTACAGGCATGAGCCACTGGTGCCCAGCTCCATGTGATTTAAATGATGAAGATCAGAGGTCGGCAAGAAATGACACTCCAGGAAGCTACTTATGGGGCTCAATCCTGCAACACCAGGTGGCAGCATAAAGGGTACTTGCAAATGGTTCACAAAGATGAAAAGTTTGCTTATATAGCAAGAAAAGGAGTGTGGCAAATGTGTGGACACCAGTCATATCAATGACTCATGCAAAAGAAGGATCCTGAAAAGGCCCTCAAAAAAAAGTGCTCCTCCCTCTGGCTTGAGTGAAAATAGTTTCAGATTCACTAAGCATTCATTGAGGCTGTGTGTGTGTGTGTGTGTAAAACTGGAACTGAGGGCCTGGGAGCTGTTTTTTCACTTAAGGCTGGTGCTCTTGAGTGACAGCTCAACTTCTGGCTTGTTAATGATTTATTGGAGATGAGATTCTCACACTTTCCCTGCTCTGGCTGACTTACAACTGCAATTCTCAGATCTCAGTCTCCTGAATACTTAGGATGACAGATGTGAGCCACCAGAGCCTGGCTAACAGGGGTGTGTGTGTGTGTGTGTGTGTGTGTGTGTGTGTGTGTGTGTGTGTGTGTGTGTGTGTTGTAGGGCAAGGAGCTTGAACTCAGAGCCTGGGTGATGTCTCTAAGCTTTTTTGCTCAAAGCTAGTACCCCACCACTTTGAGCCACAACTTCACTTTTGGGTATCTGGTGGTTAATTGGAGATAAGAGTATCACAGACTTTCCTGCCCGAGCTGGCTTTGAACCTCGATCCTCAGATCTCAGCCTTCTGAGTAGCTGGGATTACAGGTGTGAGCCCCCCAGTGCATGGTTTGGCTCACAGGCTTTGAATCACAAAAGTCCACCCCAAACTGTATTTATTGATTGTGTGAATCGATACGAGGGCTTGAATTCAGGACCTCCTGCTCTTGCTACTGAATATTTATTTATGGCGCTCTATGGTTCCAGCCAGAGTTTTTAATCCAGAATTTCTGCAGTTGGGGCTGCAGTTGCCCATATCTCAAGAAGTTCTTGGAAATCAAACGCAGCTTAGGGCACCCTCTTCCGGAGGAAAGAACAGGTGCACACCAGGCCGCCGAACTCCGGACAGAGCTGAAAGCTACCAGCGCGAACCAATCAGCGTCGGCCGCCGCAGGGCCCGTCCTCAGGCTGATTCTGATTGGCTAGCAGTGAAAGGCGCGGCCACCCTCGGCTGTCAGAAAACCTGGTTTGCGTGAGGGCGGAAGTTCCGCCTTACAGCTTCTCCAGTAAGGGCGGAAGTGGGCGCCGAAGCGGAAGCGGCTCCAGCTGACCGGGAGCGTGGTGTGGCCCGTCCGAGGTGGGGCCGTGTCCCCGCCGGGCTGCCGCCCCCGCTGGGTTGCGGCCATGGAACTCACGGCCGACTACCTCCGGGAGAAGCTGCTGCGGGGCCTGGAGGCGGAGCACGTGGTGAGTGAGCCGCCGGGCCCGCCCCGACGCGACGCGGCCGAAGGGCTCCCGGGGGCGGGCCCGCGCCGACCGCGTCCATTCTCCCGCCCCGTAGGAAGTGGAGGACACGACGCGCAACCGTTGCGCCACCAGCTTCCGAGTCCTCGTCGTGTCGGCTAAGTTCGAAGGGAAGCCACTGCTTCAGCGACATCGGTGAGCCCCTGGGACCCTCACCCCGCGCGGCCCCCGGGCCGGCCCCCACCCCGGCCGCCAGCCCGTCCCCCTCCGCCCGGGGCCCTCCGCCCCGCAGTGAGGCCCACGGCCCCGGCGACCGCCCCTGCGGTCCTTGCTGCTTGGATTGGGATTGTGTGGACATCGGAGATTCCCACGGCTCGCGGGGAATTCCCACGAGCTCGGGGAAAGCGGTGGCTTCGCGGTCGCGCTGGCTTCGGGGACCATCGATGTCCCGCCCTGTCTCCCCCAGGCTGGTGAATGAGTGCCTAGCGAAGGAGCTGCAGTGCATCCATGCCTTTGAGCAGAAAACCCTGACCCCAGAGCAGTGGAGACGGGAGTGTCGGAAGTGAGGGATGGAGCCTGCTCAGCTATTAAATGACATAAACATAAATCGGGATTGCTTCTTGTATCGGTGTTGGTTGGGGGGGGGGGGAGGACGCTCTACTCTACTCTATCCCTGTCTTACCGTGGACAAATTCCTCTGCGAATCTGCACCTCATAAGTCCTACCTGGGACTTAACTTTGCAAGCCTCTAGACCTCCAGCGGTGTGTACTATCCACCCTAATTCCCACACAGCAGGGGCTTCCTGCTCCCACCCAAGTGGGTGGGCAGGGGACATCCCGACTCGTGAAGTTCTTTACCAAAATAGCTCTTTCTAATATGGCATTGTATAGAAAAGGGCTGAGTATGAAGCTTTTTATGGAGTTAACACAGTATGAACCAAGACCTGGGTGCCAAGACACCCACCTCAACAGCCCTGTGATATTCCTGTCTTGAACAAATTGAATCGTGAGTACCACCCCACACTCCCAAGCACCTTTTGCTAGGACCTAACAGTGCTATTTCTGCCTGTGCTATTTTGAGAGGCTAGGGCAAGTGGAGGCCACAGAAAGCAGAAAAGACAGTTACAGTGTGCAGTATCAAGGCCTAGTCCAGGATTCAGTCTGCCCTTCAGCAAGCAAGTCTTCTACGTCTCGGCTTTTCTCATCTGAAAAGCAGGGTCAAGTTTATTGGATTGCTTTTAAGCTTTTCCTTATATAAGTTCCTCTTGATCATTTTATCCTTCACCTAGAGTTGGAAAGATGTCTACTATGGCCTGTGGCAAGTAGAGAACTGGCGCCTAAGCCCTGTGAATGTACCAGGTCTACCTCCTACTTTCCTGTCAGCTTTGGCCCACCTGACATGTTGCTTGATTGTGCTAACTCCTGCAGCCAAAGATGGTTCTGCCTCTTGCTCCTGGGGCTTGAAGTCTGGGCCTGGTTGCTGTCTCTCAGCTCTTCAGTTTAAGGCTAGTGCTGTACCACTTGAGTTTTTCTGGTGGTTTGTTGGAGATAAGAGTCTCTCAGACTCTCACAGACTTTCCTGCCCGTGCTGACTTTGAACCACAATCCTCAGATCTCAGCCTCCTGAGTAGCTAGAATTACAGGCGTGAGCCACCAGCATACGGCTTCTAGCTATTCTGATAGCTCACGTTTCTCTTATCTTTATCATAGTTAATTCTTGAGGCCATAGGTGTAGGTAGCCATCCCAGAGGACCACGCAGAGACAGCCACATACAGAAGGAGGTTTATCAGAGGGGCCATCTTCCCCATGGGAGAGGGAGCATATAGCACCTGTCCCCATCCAGGTGGATCCTTGTAACTCCAGGGCTGGAAGTGGGAGGTACTCTGCATGTGCAGCTAGATCTGGGTGGAGAGTGGGAGTGCCCACCTATCCCAAAGGAGCTGGTGGGAGCCCCCCCAGAGAGTGCTTTAGGAAGGAGTGGGAGGGGCTGCTATAGAGCGAATGCGAACAATAGATTTGTTCAAACTGCTCTGAAGTAACTCCTGGTAATATAGTTAAATCTGATAACGAAAGGTGAGGTCACAGCCTGCCATCTTGTCAGCATAGTGGGCATCAAAGCGCTTGTTCTGGGCCTCCGTGAAGGTGTTTTTCCAGTCTCCTGTGATGCCTAGACAGGGACAGAAGGAAGATGGAATTTCAGCCACAGAGGAGGCCCCTAAGTGGACCAGAGTGGACTTGCTAACTGTTACCATCTGCTTTCCCCAAATACCCACCCTGGCTGGGGCCTACCTTTCCTCATGAATGGGGAAACACTGTGGTCCATGTGGTGACTGGGTATGGTGGTGTAATTAGTCATAGGGTTCTTCTTCATCTCCTTGAAGGTTGTGTGCTGGACAATGAGATCTATGGTTTCCTCAGGCACAGAGCGCCCCAGAAAGTCCAGGATCTTTCGAATCTCCCTTTTGGGGTTCTGCAACAACATAGAGACCCTTCAGTGGAGGTTTGGATTGTACATTGGGCAAATGCCCTCAGCTGCCCTCTTTAAGGCCACAGGGAGTTGTCTACTTGCTGTGAGAACTCTCAGTCTTAGCTCTTAGACTCTGGGCCTCTTTCCCTGGCAAACTAATCATTTCCTATTCTGCCATCAAGGACTGAGCCCAGTGCATCCTTTCTGGGAGAGTACAGCAATAGGCATTCATTGCTGGAACCCATGCTGACACCTCATGGGAGAGAGGGAGAAGCAGAAGCACCATTGCTAATGGTTCACATCACATGTGGGTAACGCATGTGCTTGGAGATTAGGACCAGCATTGCAGTGTCCTCTGCTGAGCTGGTACTGATGGCACAGCTGGTGGATAGAGGCTAGGGCTGAATCACTTTTGGACATTCACAAAGCCCTGGGTTTGAGCCTCTGAACTGGAAAAACAAACAAAACTGAAGGCATGGCTTAAATGAAAGAACACCTGCTTAGCAATTGAGAGGCCTGAGTTCAAATGCTAGTTCCAGGGGTGTGGGGGAGATGATGTACAGGAGACAGAAATGGAAATCCTAGACCAGGGACCTGGGCTGAGGTCCTAGGAGGACATAGTCCCTGTGGGTTTCTGTTCCCCAGCTGCCACAGAGAAGGAAGGAAGCATCAGCAGGTGGTCTCACCTCCTTCATGTCTTCATAGAAGAGGTACAGCACAGGGCGCGTGTGGCGCAGCTCCCACCACTCCCGCACATGCTGGTACCATGACCCATAGGACACTGGGGAGCAACACAGGCATAAACACAGCTGGGCTTAGTTTTAGCTGCTGCCCCTCAGCTCCAGCCCCCTCCTTCCTGCACAGTCAGACCCACCTTTCCCATCCATGAACTTCTCCAGGAAGCTGTCCCAGGTGCCAGGGTCAGGGTGCACCTTGGCCATGAGGTAAAAGTGATAATAGGAGACGGCCACATCCTTTGCATTGCGGGCAATGTAGATGACCTGCAGGGGCAGACCCCCATACCCCAAATCCTCACCATACTGCACCCCACACTAGTCCTAGCTCTGCATTCTGTCTTCCTGTTTCCCTTGTCAGCACTCAGTTTAGGAGTTTTCTCTGGGTATAGTAGCTAAGGAGGAAGCGGGCTGGTATGGGGCCACCGAGTTGGCATTTAAACCCTGCTTTAATGCTGTTATGGTTTGGATATGGGTGTCACCCAAACAGCACATTTGTTGAAGGTCTGTCTGGTCTTGTTTATAGCACTGTGGAGAACGTTTGAATTCTGAGGGCTCTGGCTTAATTGGTTGTTTACAGCCATTGATGGATTCCTATTTTCTAGCATTATTAGTAGGTGGCAGTAACTAGGGTTTGAGGTTTTATTAGAGGATGGTGTCACTTTGGGCATCACTGTGAAGGGTTTATCTGGTTCCTCTTGTACCGTAATGTGGATTTCACCATAGTTTTCTATGTTTCACCACAAGCCAAAAATAAAAAAAGGCCCTGATCACAGACTAGAAGCTTAAACCAAAATAAACCTTTCCTTGAGTTGCTTATCTCAGGTGTTTTTTCAGTGATAACTAATACAAATGCAAAGTCATGGCTGGTGGCTAGAATCATATTCCATACTAATCTTACCACCTTCAATCTCCACACCCAGACTGGAACAAGGTAGACTTGGGTCCTACCAGGCTCTCTCAGTGTCGCACGAGAACCTAGATATCTCAGGGGCACCCTGAAGTATCTCACTTTCCTGATCCTCTAAACGGGCACATAGCCTCCCCATTTGCAATGTCACAGGGCTGGAGGGGTCCATCCCAGACCAAGACCAAAGCTGCTGTGGCCAGGGCCCTGCCCTGCCTCTCACCTTGACCTTCTGGTCCAGCAGGCTCTGGGGGAGCAGGGCCAGCGGCAAGTGTGTCTTGAGGAGCCGGGGGGGTTCGGCGCTTTCCAGAGCCTCTCGACCTAAGGGTAGGCAGGGAAGGTCAAGTGAGTTGAGGCCCTGGCCTACCTCCTACCTTGTTATTTCCCCTTTCACTCTTCCACATACCTGAGGGAACACCTGGGCTTGTGAACTCAAGGAAAGGCACCCTCATGTAGATGGGGGCCCGGCGACACTTCTCCAAATCACCACCCTGGTAGATTATGTCCAGTATCTCACTTACCCAAGTGGTGCCTGGAGAGTAAGGGAAATTGGGATGAATTGGGCTAAGGGCCTGGCCCCACTTACCAGTTGTGGACTGCAGCCCAAGCAAGGAGGGTAGGCCTGCCTCCTTACCCGACTTGGGGTATGTGCTGACAAGCAGGTCGTCATCCCGGGCCTGGAAGTCCTGTAGCAGCCTTGTCCCTTCTGCAAAGTACTTGATCATTGGTATGCCCTTCATATCTACCAGTGACGGGCGGGAGGTGTCCTGGACCAATTCCATGTGTCCTCAGGAGACTCAGCCTTGCCCACTTAACACAACCACAACAGCCCTATTTATTATCATCATCATCATCATCATCATCATCATCTTGGATGTGGATCGGGTTTAATTCAAGGCCTCATGCTTGCTAACCTGGTATTCTACCATTTAAACCACTCATCCAGCCCTGCCTTTTATTGGTTATTTTGGAGATGGAGTCTAGTGGCCTTTTCTGCCCATGTTAGTTAGCCTTGATCTGCAGTCCTCCAGATCTCAGCCTCCTGAGTAGCTAGAATTACACATATGAGCCACTGGCACACCTGTCTCATTTGAATTCTTGCTTTGGGGTTGGGATCCTGAGGCTTCCGGAGATTGATTTATCCAAGCTTACCAAGCCAGCTAGTAGAGCTGAGATCTCTGGGGCAATGCAGGATAGAGGCTCCAACTACAGCTCAAACAGAAGTCCAGTCAAACAAGAGCAAACCATAATTAGAAGACGGGGAGACTAGGAGCTGGGCATTGCTTGGTGGTCAATCCCTCCCCTCCCCACTCCGGCACTCACCTTATCTGAGGGATCTACCCTGTGGCCTCCCTGGTGGGTGGGCAGTGGTGGAGCCGGGTGCCCTGTGCACTGAGCACAGAGCTCTCTCGGTTTTATAGGTCCTGAGTAATAGGGAGGTGGAGCCAATGTTGGAACTGGCTACCGCAGAGATAGAAAAGGTGGGGCTTAGGAATGGAGTAAGTTGTTTTCTGACCATACTAGGCACTCCCTGCAGTCTCCTCCGGAAGGAAAGGGTGGGGGAATCTGTTATGCTTTGTAGCACTGGAACTAGAAATATCCTCAGACCTGTCTGAATATCCAGTAAGTAGGTTTAGACTGTAGAAAACAAAAGGGGTGAGAGTAGGTGAAAGGAGCAGGGCAGATTGTTTTGTTCTTCCAGCTGTAATCTAGGTCCTGTTTGCCTCATCTAAACTCCACCCTGCAGGGGCTGTCAGTACCACTGACCCAGTCAGGGGGAGGAGTAAGAAGAAATGGGCGGGACAAACAAGGCTTTCCGGGAACTAGCTGCTCTGAGAAGAATCTGAATCTAGTGGAGTTGGCAGCTCCTCACAGGACAGAACAAGGGCACTAGAGTCCAAAAGACCCGAAGGGAGTCCCTGTGCATGGCTCCTTGATGCCTCATCAAGCCCCCTAAGGGGCTTTTCTTTCCCTAGGTTCACAAGGGCTCTGCAGGCATATACAGAGAGGCCAGGGCAGGGAAACCACAGGGTCCCATAGAAGGAGGCCACCCTTTGCCCTCCTACTTTACCTTTTTCTTACATTTGGGGTTAAGATCTAAAGTCAAGCTCAGCACTGGACATGCAGGCTCTCTGCATGATGAGTCCGAGTCTACAAGCCTCTAAAAAGTTGTACAGTATAACCAGACCAGGTGCAGTGGCCCAGCCCATGCCTGTAGTCCCAGCTATTTGGTAGACAGAGATCAGGAAGATCATAGTTCAGGCCAGCCTGGGGTAAAGGTGAACAATAAACCAGTTGTACTGAGGACCTGAGATTTACAGCTGCCATAGGTAGGAGGATTGTAGTGTGAGGCTAACCTCAGGCAAAAACAATACAAGACCCTACCAGAAAAATAAAGGGGAAAAAAAGGCACTGGGGACATTGCTCTAGTGGTAGATCCCCTACTCAGCCAGAGGGATATTCCTGAGGTTATACCCCAGAACCACACACACACATATACAGAGAGAGAAAGAGGGAGGGAGGGAGAGAGAGAGAGATACTGTGTAACCAAAGGAAAACTGAAAAAGGAGGAGGTGGGTCATAGGGTCAGACCAGCAGCTCCTCCTCCCACCTCTGTTTCCCTCATCTAGATCTCCACAAAAAAACACTGGAAAGGTACCCCAAAGTCAGACTTTTTATTTTATTCAAGTAAAAACAGCCCAGACCATGGACAAGGGGGACAAAAAGGTAGCTGGGTTGGAGACACCGAGCATCAGGTTTCCAACATGTCTGTCCAGTGTTCCTGTGGGGACAAAAAGGTTAATCAAATGAAGCCTTGGGGAGTAGGTGTTGGGAGATGGGGAAGCTGGGCCTTGAGCCCCCAGCCTCTTACCTGTTCTAATTCTGAGTCCTCCTCTTCCTCCTCAGTGCTCATTCCACACAGTGAGATCAGGTCTCCCCAGAGCAGTGAGTTCTTACAACTACCAAAGGGGTGCAGTTGGTAGTTAGGCATTTCCTGCCCCCTCCAGCCTATGTTCTATGAGCTTCAATGAGGACCCAGCTGGCCCACAGTGGACCACTGAGCACCTCTCCCCAGGGCTGCTGCAGGTTGGAAAAGGGACTGGACTCACCAAGGACACTGGCCTTCTAGGGGCAAAAGCTGCTCTGGTTCTTCCCTAAGGAACTCCTCTGCCAAGCAGATTACATGGGCCCTGAGGGAGCAGTCAGGGTGGGGGCAGCACAGGGGCCCCTCTTCATCCTGTCAGAGGTGGCAGACAGAAAGCAGCTTTACTGAGAGCCCAGCAGAAGCCAGGCCCCACCATGTATTTATGGACTATTTGCTCTGTGCAGAAGTGAACAAGAATTGCCCTCCTGGAGATGCGCGTGAAGAGTGGAAACTGATAACATATAATGTGAAACTCTATGTTAAGAGGAAGAAAGAACGGGTAGCACAAGGTAGTGCTGCAATTTCAGATGAAGGCCAGGGAAGACACAGTGAGCAGTAACTGAGGAGGCCAGGAAGGGCCAAAAGTTATATTCTCACCGTTTCAGAGATGAAGCCAGGTGGGCAAAGTCAGTACCAAGACTCAGGCCTAAATCCATCCTTGCTTGGGGTAGGGCTTACCGACCTGGAACGCACATGCGCAGAGGGTGCAGCCGGTCTCAGAGCCTTGGTCAGGCTTGTCAGCTACAGGCACAGCCCTGGGCTTGGGGGCCGAGGCCTTAGGCGGCGGTGGCCCAAAGGCCAGTGGCACGTGCGGCGGCGGCGGAGGACAAAGATCTCGGCGGAAGTCCTGGCGTAGCCAGCGCAGTGTGAGCGGGAGACGCGCCCAGGGCGGCGCACGCAGCATGTGCGCCAGCACGCGCAGGTGGAAATCGAAGGCTACTTCACTGCGCATGCGCGGACCCACGTGTGCAAGGCGGCGCGAGGCTTGCGGGTGCTGCCAGGCCCACTCGAACTGTGGTAGGGTGCACAAGGAGGTCAGGGAGACAAAGGGCAAGAGGTCCCGGGCCAAGCCTCAAGCCCCAGTTCTGCCCACCTTTTTTAGCACCCGGTCACCTCTCTTACCCGAAGAGCTGCTACAGCAGATGGGAAGCCATGCACAATGAGCACCATCTCCCTGGAAAGGAGAACAAGGAAGCCGCCTGTGAGACCCTGTTCCACCCTCACCCTGAAAGAAGCCAAATCCTATAAGCCGTGCCTTGACTTCAGACTTCAAAGGTGAGTTAAGCCCAAGTCTTACAGATCTTAAAGGACCATGAACCCCCCCCCCCCCTATTGTGCAGCTAAGACCTCTCCCAACTACAGTCCTCAGGCCTCACTTCCAATCTCAGGTACTTAACTGTCACAAGCTCTAATCCATCCCCAGCATTGCTTACCAAGCTCCTTTCGCATGTTATACAGTTAGCATATATTAGCTGTACAAAGTGATAGGCTTCATTAAGACATTTGTGACGCTTGTATAAAATAATTTTAGCATATGCATACTCCACACCCCTCCGTTTCTACTGCCTCAAGCTTGGGGCTAGAACTCAGGGCCTAGGCACTGTCCCTGAGCTTTTTGTGTTCAAAGCTAGCACTGTCTACCATTTGAGCCACAGCTGCACTTCTAGCTCCTTTTTGGTGATTAATTGAAGAGTCTCACGGATTTTCCTGCCCAGGCTGGCTTCAGACCATGATTTTCAGTCTTCAGCTTCTAGAGTAGCTAGGATTACAGTCCTGACCACCAGTGTCTGGCTTTCTTCCCCTCCCTCCCCGCCCCCCATTCCTTGTGAAAGGAGTCTCACTTTGTAGGTCAGGCTTGAATTCCAGTGACCCTCTTGTGTTGTGCCCCAAGGCCTGGCTCTTATCTCCCATCCACCCCCCATTCTAGATTATATAAAAGAAAAAAAAAACGCATAATTTGGCTCCTCCCTTTCTTAACAATCTCTAGTTCTGTCTTTTCCTGAAAAGGACACAATTTCATCCTTCTTTCTGGCCGAATTAAACTCCAACACACATTTTTTTTTCTTTTTCCATTCATCTGTTGATGCACTTCCATTGATCTGTTGATGGTACTTGGCTGTTGTGAATAGTGCTAGAATAACCAACCCCAGCCCAGAATGAAACCGATGACTTTGCACACATCAGACAAGGGCTCTACCATTTGAGCTACAACAAAGTCCTACAACCAAGTCGCCTCCCAGACATCACCCTATCCCGAATTCAAGTTGCTGGGCTCAACTTCAGTTCCTCCAGCCCCGCCCTACGCTCCCTCTCAGAGGTCTCTGCCCTTTCAGGCCCGCCTCCCTAAAGCCCTACTCCATTAGAGACCTGCACCAGCTTACCACGGCCCTCTTCCGCTAGTCCGCCAGGCCCCGCCCTTTTTGCGACCGCCGTTGTGCTGCTGGACTCGACGAGCAGGATTAACCGTGAACCCGACGTAGACTCGGCCTCGATGCCGAGGGTTCAGGCAGTAGAGCAGGTAGACCCCGAAGAAGCGCCCTGGCTTCACTGCACCCCCTCCGGGACCCATTGGGGTTTATGAGTCGGAGCGAAGCTGGGGGTTGATTTCTGTAGCTGAACCCTGGGGAGGACTTGGGTGACGAAACCTAGCAATGCAGCTTAGGGCACCCTCTTCTGGCTGGAAGAACCGGTGCACAGCAGGCTGCCCAGCTCCGGACGGAGCTGAAAGCTGCCAGCGCAAACCAATCAGCGTCGGCCGCCGCAGGGCCCGTCCTCAGGCTGATTCTGATTGGCTAGCAGTGAAAGGCGCGGCCACCCTCGGCTGTCAGAAAACCTGGTTTGCGTGAGGGCGGAAGTTCCGCCTTACAGCTTCTCCAGTAAGGGCGGAAGTGGGCGCCGAAGCGGAAGCGGCTCCAGCTGACCGGGAGCGTGGTGTGGCCCGTCCGAGGTGGGGCCGTGTCCCCGCCGGGCTGCCGCCCCCGCTGGGTTGCGGCCATGGAACTCACGGCCGACTACCTCCGGGAGAAGCTGCTGCGGGGCCTGGAGGCGGAGCACGTGGTGAGTGAGCCGCCGGGCCCGCCCCGACGCGACGCGGCCGAAGGGCTCCCGGGGGCGGGCCCGCGCCGACCGCGTCCATTCTCCCGCCCCGTAGGAAGTGGAGGACACGACGCGCAACCGTTGCGCCACCAGCTTCCGAGTCCTCGTCGTGTCGGCTAAGTTCGAAGGGAAGCCACTGCTTCAGCGACATCGGTGAGCCCCTGGGACCCTCACCCCGCGCGGCCCCCGGGCCGGCCCCCACCCCGGCCGCCAGCCCGTCCCCCTCCGCCCGGGGCCCTCCGCCCCGCAGTGAGGCCCACGGCCCCGGCGGCCGCCCCTGCGGTCCTTGCTGCTTGGATTGGGATTGTGTGGACATCGGAGATTCCCACGGCTCGCGGGGAATTCCCACGAGCTCGGGGAAAGCGGTGGCTTCGCGGTCGCGCTGGCTTCGGGGACCATCGATGTCCCGCCCTGTCTCCCCCAGGCTGGTGAATGAGTGCCTAGCGAAGGAGCTGCAGTGCATCCATGCCTTTGAGCAGAAAACCCTGACCCCAGAGCAGTGGAGACTGGAGTGTCGGAAGTGAGGGATGGAGCCTGCTCAGCTATTAAATGACATAAACATAAATCGGGGTTGCTTCTTGTATCGGTGTTGGGGAGGGTGGGGGGAGAGACGCTCAGTTTAGTCTTGTTCCTGCCTTTCCTCTATCTTTCTTAGCGTCCTTCACATATCTGCCTTGCAAGCCTTCTCCAGTGGTGTACTGTCCACTCCACCTCCAGAGAGCAGGAGCTTCCTTCAAGATGTATTGAGGGTCTGGGAAGGTGGCCTTGCATGCATGAGGCTCTGGGTTCGATTCCACAGTGCCAGAAGTGGCACTTTGGCTCAAGTGGTAGAGCCCTAGCTTTAAGCTGAAGAGCTGAGGGACAGCGCCCAGGCCCAAAGTTCAGGCCCACGACCAACCAAAAAAAAAGATGTGTTTATGAGAAAGGCCATAGGGTTTCTTTCAGGCTCTGGTAGCTGAACAAACCTCTCTTTTCCTTCAGAGAGCCCTGACAGAAAATGACTTGCATGTTCTCCCAGTCCTCAGGGCACCAGTGTTCAGGAAGTGCTCTTCCTTACCTGCTGCCCCTAGGAATTCCCTGGGCTTCTCAAAATGGGGCCTGTGAGCAAGAGACAGGCACAGGATTGGAGCAGGAAGGTAAGGCTAACCTGAGCAACATAACAGGGCAGATGGGATATGTGTGTCAGTCTAAATCCTCCATTGGTAGGTTTGGTGGGATCTTGTAGAGATATTCCTGACATCAGGTAATTTACTTGGAGCCTTGGCTGTTTGAGCATGACATGTTTTAGTTTTGCCATGTACTTTTCCATAGTATCTATGTTTTGCCTTTTTCTTTATGCTTTGAGACCTGATGTGTGTTTTCCAAGTTGATCTCCAACTCACGAGCTCAAATGATCCTTCCACTCCCTCCATCACTGGGACAGCATTGTGGGCCACCACATCTAGCTCTTCTATTTTCAAGGATTATTTCTTAACCCATGAATTACCTTCTCTTCCACTTGCTCCTCTTGTTCACATCAGAGAGCATGGGCTGGCCAAGTTGGAGTCAGAGTGGTTTATATCCCAGAGATCATTTTCTAAACTTTGTTCTCCTGGAGCAGGAGAAAATTAGTGACTGGAGTCTACCCAGAAAGGCCTATCATGTCAGTTGTACAGAAGAGATGCAAGCAAAACCCAGCCTCCACCCTGATGTAATCCACCTCTGTATTCCCAAGCTGTGCTGATTGCCTTCCCTGGCCGAGGGTCAGGTGACCTCCACAGAGGTAGAGTCTTAAATGTGGGCAAGGACATTTGTCTGTCCTGTGCAGCTCACCACCCAGTCCTCTTTGTCCTGTGACATGCTGTATAGGATATTCTGGGAATGGAGCCTTTGATGGGTCTTGCATGTTATGAACCACACTGTGAGCCTGTGTTAGCCCAGCCCAAGAGGCTCCTGAAAATTTGGCAGTGAAATCCCACAAGCTCTCTTGATAGGGCCTTACAGATCTATTTCTGCTAAGTCTTCTTCACAGAAGCCACAGGAAGGGACAAGGGGCAGCTGCACTGAGCAGCAGGAAGTCTCTGAACCAAAGAGGGATACTTAGGCCATTCCTCCGCAGACTGCATTCAGAAGAGATCCCGAGCTAAGGACAGACCCATCAAGACTAGTGAGGGAGAAGCTCTGCACAGGTCAGTTCCACAGACCTGACTTTCAAGTAAGCAGTCGTCTGAGAGGAGGTACCAGAAAATAAAACATTTTATTATTTTTCTTATCTGCCATGGTGGCCTGGGATATAGGGAGCGAGGTGAGGGATGTGAATGTTCGGCCCCACTGAAGGCCCCAGGTTCCTCTACTTGGCCTGGACCATCTCCTCCAGCCTGTCCAAGCGCTTCTGTAGCTCCTGCACTGTGGCCTGCAGCTTCCCCATCTCCTCCTCCAGATGGGACACGGCATCCTGGGAGACCCAGCACCGTGTCAGGTCCCTCTCCTTCCTCGGCTCCCCTTTGCAGTACTGGAGTTTGAACTCTCAAGCTTCACACTTGCTAGGCCAGTGCTCTACCACTTGCCCCACACCCCCAGCTCATTACCCTGGCATCTGCCAGCCCTCTGGAGAACCTCAGGGCTTGTCCCTGGTGTCTTAGTCAGTACCTGCCTAAACCCATAAGCCCACTCCCGTTTTCTGAGATCTCAGCATTTCCTACGTCTAGCCCCTCAATGACAACCTCCTGCCACTGGTGCACTGGGCCCATCCAGCAGTTCTTGCCCTATCCTATTTCCCCATCCTGGCTTACCCGATTAGGAGTACCACTGGCCTCTGGTGCTGCCCTCCTGCGTGTGCTGTCCAGGCCCCGGTTGACCCGCAGCTCCCGACTCTTTGGAGGTACATAGCCATCCTTGAGGGAAATGAGGAGGGGCCCAGCATCACGACCCCCTAACCACTCCTCAGCTGTGAGGGCAGGATCAGGCCCAGCGGTAGGTGGGTACAGGTCCTCCTGGAATAGGTCCGACTGTAGGCAAGATCAAGACTGGTCATGAGATTGTTTATGGGGAACACTAGCCCACCCTGTGACCCACCCTGGCCACAGCCCATAGGGCACAGGGAGCCACCCCCAGTGCCTCACCTTCCTAGGCACTGTCATGGCGATGGGCTCGCACTTCCGCTCATGCAGCTTGTAGAATCTGTGGAGAGAGGAAGGTGAGAGGTGCCACAGCATGTCTGCTGAGGGCCTAAAGATCATCATGAGGTCAGCGCTGGCCCAAGAGCATGCTCCTGTCAGGATCAGGGGTCAGTCACCTGGCAATCTCACACTTGTTCACTTCCAGGCCACGTTTGGGCATGTAACCCATACCACGCTGTGACTCCTTGGAACTGAACATGGAGAGATAGTGCAGGAACGGAGCCTCCGAGGTGATCTCAAAGTACCGGATAGAGCTGTCCCCCTGCAGGAGGGGTGTGCGAGTGTCAGCACCAATAGCATCTCTAGCCCAGTCCTGTCGAAGCCCCCTGCCCACCTCCCTGACCCACTCAGCTGAGACACCTTGCCACAGAGGTAGACAATATTGGTGTCAGGGTCAAAGAAGGGCAACAAGACTCCACTGCTGGTGTCCAGTTCCTGCAGGGACAGTGGCTCCTCCAGATGCTTCTGTAGAGATAGGTGGAAGGTAGTTAACAGGCTGGGCCTTATTAGGCCCTGAGACAGTCAACTTCATGGGGCAATGACCAGGAGAGGCTTTCCAAACAAAGCAGTGGAAACTCAAATTACAGATAGGTAAACTGAGGCCTGTGGCCATTTGGCCAGGCACTAGCAGAGTAGGCATGAAGGCTCCAGCCTTGATTCCCAGCCCAGGGCTCCCTTTCTAGGCTCAGTACTCACTGTGTCCCACAGCGCCACCTGCCGCTCACTCATGCGACTGAAGCCTGTGGTCAGGATCTTCCCTTCCGACACAAACACTGCGTGTACTGGCCGGGTCCCCTCATGAGGACGGTCCTTCTCCTGCAAAGAAAGGGAGGGAGTTAGAGGGCAACACACACACACCCCACTAAGGGGCATAGGTGGGGACAAGGGGGGGCAGCACCCAAGGGGCTGGTGGATAGTGGGTAGGGAAGGAGGAATAAAGGCCTGAGGTAAAGAGTCAAGGTTCATAGCAACTCACAGCTACCACAGTGCCTTTGCGGGGCTCTATGATTCGCACGCGCTTGTCACGACAGGAGGTGCAGATGAGGGCCCCATCTCTACTCCAGTCCACACTGTAGATCGTGTCTGGGTGCACATCTGGACCCAGTGTCAGCACAGCCACTCCAGTGCCCACATCCCACACCAGGATCACGTTATCACAACCTGTGCAATTGCCCCAGTGTCAGAAGCCACGAGCCAGCTGTCAGCCCCCAGCCCTCTGCCCCTCTGCCTGCAGCACCTGCGCTGAGCAGTACATTCTGGGCTGTGGGGTGCCAGGCCACAATGCCCACCCGCTTGGTGTGGCCCTCCAGGGTGACAACAGGTTCCCGCAGGGGCAGTGTCAGACCCCCATCTGGGATCTCCCATACCTGCAGAGAAAGGGTGAGTTAAGTCTGGGGCTCCAAATGTTGAATTCATCTTGGAGCCCCCTCCTGGCCGGCATTCCCAGCAGCACTCACCATGACCGTGCAGTCCTCGGAGCCACTGGCAATGACGTTGTCATTGTGGGGGCACCAGGCAATGTCCAGCACCGGGGCTGTGTGGCCACAGACCAGGGGCACATTCTTGTCCACTCGTCCAGTCTGGAGAGGACAGCAGAGCCTTTGATGGGAGCCCTTGGCCCTCTAAACCCAATCCAACCTTCCTACCTGCTCTGCAGATGGACAGAACACCTTAGGGTGGATAGGGTTTATCATCTTTGCCCCCATCCCAAGCAGGCTGGCCACAAGTGGTGGAAGGTGGGGTATGCTAAGCCACGTGTGATTTGGGCCCTTCCTGTCTCTGGACTCTGAGGGCCAGCACCCTGCCTCTCCCTCCCCCCTTCCCCCCCAGCTTCCCAGAAAGGCCTCCATGGGCACAACAGGCCCAATACAGGTGTAGCGTTGAGGTCCTATGGAAGTGTGAGTGGGGGTGGTGCAGGGATGTGTCTTGCCAAATGGACCTAGAAGGCCTGTCCTCCTGGCTCCCAGGCAGCAGCAGAGATTTGGAAATGGCCTCTTGTGGGGCCAACTGCCTCAGCAGGGCTTCCTGTGTGGAGAGCTGCTCAGAGCACAGGCCCAGCTCTCACCCCAACAACCACTTCCTCTTCTCTGTATTTCCATCGGCCCTTTTAAGGTAACAACTTGGGGCCCATCTCCTCTTCCTGTCTCACCCCCAAAAAAACAAGAGTGTGCTGGGGGCAGGGGTCAGAAGAGGGTAAGCGGGATGGTCAGCAGGCCCAGACAATTAGACTGGCCTTTTAATCACCATGCCTGTGAACTGGGGCTGCAACTTGCTAGTCCCCCAAAGGCTGGTTCCTCCTTAGGCCAAGAGCTGCAGTCATAGCCTGAGAACACTGCTGCGTCCACACTGAAACGTCCTAGCCTGCATCTCTGTGTGGCT